GATATGTGTAATTTGTAATTTCTTTTTAATTTTAGATCGATTGACTCATGGATGTGGTGTAGATCCCATAGTGCATCGAATAAATGTTGCAATCTTGCCCTCCTTTGTAATATGCGGGCATAGTGAGCTATATATTTAGCATATATCTGCCCTATTTTTTCCCTGCGACTGTATAATTGTCAATCAATTCCAGAAGTATTCTCCTCTGAACTAATGGTCACACGGCATAAGTTGCTGCGAATTCGTGTTTGGGGGTCGAATATTTCCCTTGAATGAGAGCGGATTGGCTCAAATGGTAAAGCCACTCTTGCCTTAAGCTACATGCCAGGTTCTGACTCCTATAGTTGCCAATGCAGCATTCAACTCCACCTTCCTTAATAGAATTTTCTTGTGTGCTTGGAAAAAATTAATTTGGGGGTTTTGCACTTCAGTCTTCTCGATCCTAACAATTACTTCATGCATCAATTCAGGATGGGACTAGGGAGAGATATCAATCAAGAAGTGATGATAATATGAACCTTGAGCTTTTAAGTCGAACACAAAGTCACTCTCAGTGCTTATAATTAAAGTTCCAGCACATGTTCTTGTTTCAGTGCCTGCCTTCTTAACTGATCTCCGGTATAATTACATATTCTATCAGTACGCTCAGAGGCTCTTAACTCTTTGAGTCTCTTACATCCTCTGGAGCACTCTGGTTTATCCAGCGGCATCATACTTGGTAAGACAACTTAGGCGTTCAGTACCCCAAAGAAAAGAAAAGAAACAAAAAACTTAGGCTTCTTTACAAGGGAAAGAGTGAATATAAACTCCCTGGTAATTGGAAGGAGAACAACATCATCATGAGTTCTACTGCTCGAGTGGAATAAACAAAATAAAGTATAATATGGAAAAAGAAACCGCCATTAACTTTCACTGGATTGGGGAGGGATTTTCATGCGTGGATTCCACACTCCTTCAGATATAATAATGATTTTTCTTGGAACTTTTTGTGTGGCATGCACACTCCTGAATTACATAATATATCCTGTTCTTGACAAGTATTTGGCTTGTCTAAATGCTATCCCACTTGGAGGCCAATTGCACAAGAATTTCTTTGTTTTCTTATTGTGAATATGTCATAGAAGAAGATGTCCCTGTGGTCCAATGCTTCTAGATGTAGCAGACGCATGTAGTAATCAATTCGCCATAGTCATCTTCTGCAACATTGTTGTGTGGAAAGGTTGGTTGAGCCATATCTGGAAGTGATTACCAGCTAGTTTAACTACAAGCAGTTTGGGCCTCTATCAAATGTGGATTAGCTATGTGGAAATCTTTTCACAGGATTTAAGCAGCGGTACTATGTAGAACTAAATTTACAAATAGAACTTCAAAAAATGGGGTTTTCTTAGTGCAAAGGAAGTGAGGAATTGCCGTTTGAAATATGGGTAAAGAGAGAAGCGGGGGATGTGAAATTGGCAGAGATATCTTGATATTTGATCTGTGCGCCAATCCGCATTTGGTCAGGCCTAAACGCTAGACCGAACAGAAACATCGATCAGTTCACAGTTAAGATTTGAATTTTACTCTTTCTCTCATACTCTAGGGCCGAATGACCAGAGCAGATTTTTCTTTTTCTTCAGATGAAATGGCATGCCAGAACTGAAAAAATTTTGACAGGCAGGACGACCTTTCTGAGACACTAAACCTCAGCAGCCCCTTTTGAGCAGATTGGATCTCTATGTCCTAAAACAGAGTTACACCTGTCTAGTTCTGAACGATGCCTTCTAGAGGTTTTGATGTTTTACTCCTGCCCTTAGTATGTTTGAGCTATCTATGTCACATCATGCAGTGAAAGAAAATAAGATTGGGAGCAGTAGCTAGTCTTTTCATGTGAAGAGAATTCGGGTTACAAACTTCTACGTGAAGTTGTGTTTTGATGGGTTGAGTGTCGATATGTACTTGGCGATGAAATTTTGGATAAACTGCAGAAAGAATTGAACTGGTGTAGCTTTCTCCAGTAAATATTCATTCAGATATGATCAAGTATTACAGCGATAAAAGGGGCAGGAGATCAAGTATCCCTGAGAAAGATACTAACATTCTAGTTGACGAAATTAGATCATGAATAACAAATTCGTTCACTTTAGGAGTTGAGTATGTAAAGAGAAGGTTCATTATCTTTTACCTAAAAGGTCTCCACTGAAGCTTGTGCCCTCCACACTACCCTATTTTTTTTATACCAAAAAGGAACCGAGCATCATCAAGTTTGCCTATTTTTTTTTTAATGATTCCATCTATAAATGCATGGGAAGAATGTGTCCTCAACAAGCAGGTAGTATCTTGCATGCTTAGCCTTCCCTTGTTTCACTGTAGTGTCTTTCCTTGTTCCCAGTCATGAGTACCCAAAACTCCGTCCAAATTGCACTTCCCAAAGGTGCTAATGACCAAAACCAGAACCAAGAACCAGGAGAGGACTTTGACTACTCACAAAGGTCCCAATGGCTTCGAGCTGCTGTATTAGGAGCTAATGATGGATTGGTTTCAATCGCATCATTGATGATGGGGGTTGGAGCTGTTAAAACAGATGTCAAAGCCATGATCCTGACTGGTTTTGCAGGACTGGTCGCTGGAGCCTGTAGCATGGCAATTGGAGAATTTGTTTCTGTGTACTCTCAACTTGAGATAGAGGTTGCACAGATCAAGAGAGAAACAGAAATGATAGAGACCGGACAGGATGAAGAAAAAAACAAGAAAGAAAATCTGCCTAATCCACTGAGTGCGGCAATGGCATCAGGTCTTGCATTTTCTTTAGGAGCCATAGTGCCCTTGCTGGCAGCTGCATTTATAGGAGACCATAAGGTGAGGTTGGCTGCCATCATTACTGCAGTGAGCCTGGCTTTACTAGTTTTTGGATGGGTCGGGGCAGTGCTAGGGAAGGCTTCTGTAACCAAGAACTGTGCTAGGGCGTTGATTGGAGGTTGGATGGCTATGGCCATCACATTTGGAATGACCAAATTAATAAGCTCCACTGGAATGAAAATATAAAATCATCAACTACCATGTCATTTTCAACCTTTTTCCATCGCTTCAAATTATGAAAAATAAATGCAATCTTCAGCTTGAAGAAGGTTGCTGCATGTTGATCAATTAAGTTTGTGAAATGTTTAGAATCCTGTCCGGTCAGCGCGGTGTTCGTTTTTCTTTCCTTTTTAGTTTCACTCCTTGCTGTGACATCTTCTTGATCAATAGTACTAGTATCTTGCGAATCCAGGAGGAGCAGAACTCCTGGAACATCATTCCTGTAGTTACGCTTTACACCTTCATATGGTCAGATGTCTTTCCCAATACCAGAATAGCTTTCAGTTGAAAGTAAATTCTGACAAAACCACTGAAAAAGTTAATAGCCTATTTCCAGTGGTCTACATGAAATTGAGTGAAAATAAGCTTAAAGAAAAATGACAAAGGTAATGCAGATGCCAGATTAAAATGATGAACGCTAACTCAGTAATAAGGAGAATTTCCTCCAAAAATATGAAAGCACTAAATATTATCGTTGCATCACTTGCCAGTCTTACCAGCATGAGCACGAAGTTAATAACCTTATCTCAATTTTCATCTCTAATAGGGAACTGAGCCCGACATTTGCTGCTCTTGTGTCCCAAGTCACCACAGAACCTGTGATTCATAATTGCAAGAACTGTTTAAAAACCATAGCAACTTATCCCCAAATAAGATGGTTCTTTACCACAAGTGCTTGCACATGATGTTTGGCTGTTGCTCAGATCATAACTTTTTGTTTGCATACGGTGCACTTTCACTCCAGCCTGCTTACTCACACGGGCACATAACGTGTCCAATGCAGATGATGATTCTGTTCTATATTACCATCCCCGAGTCACATTATTTCAGAGAGTACAATTCCCAAGTTATCATCAACCCAGTAGCAGCTCCATATGGTTCAGGAGTACCAGCAACGTTCAACTCCTCCCCAGTTCTCGAAAGGAAGATCAAGAAAAATGATTCTCGTATCTGTCCCGTGGTACGTAGCATCCAGACCATTATGACCAGTAAAGAGTCCATAATCCGACTGCCTGACTAACGTTAAGGTTTCACCTCTCCTCTCTCTTTTACCACGTTCAGTTATTTCATGGTGCAAGAAATTGCGTCTTCAGAAGATTTTCTTTTTCATCCGATTGTGGAGTATCAAATCTGTTTAAACTGAAGTGTTGTTCACTAAGAACGAAAGTACCAGCGATTAAAAATATGCTCCCCCCACCACAACAAAAAAGAGCCCCAACTTTTAAGCCACGATTATTAGTATGTTTTATCTTAAATTGCGTAGGATTCTAAGCTATGCAAGTTGGGGGGACTAACAGCGTATCTTCTACAGCAAACGGGCAAACAATAGGTACCACTTTCTCGGGAAGAAATGCAATTTGTGCAAAACCGTCAATCATAAAAACATTGAAGAGACCGAAAAACTGCAAACTAAAAAATTTCTGCAGAACAGAAGGTAAAGATGGAGTTAAGTGGGCTTAAAGAAGAGTGGCAGGCAAGCGAGGAGAACATACAATTGTTCATATGATTACCAACAAAAAATGACTTAGAACATTTATTCAAGCACAGAACAATTTACATACAAGGAGCAACAATGATTAGTTGATTACACAATCTAATCGCCCTTGCTGTTGGCATTATATCCATGAAAGTGCTAATTTCATCTACAGTTGACATATCAAAACCTCACCAAACCCGCCATGACATACCAAAAAACTACGTAAGTACTTGGGACTCTGTCCTTCCAATCGAACCTTTGCAGGAAAGTGAACCCAAGAATCATCATTAAAAAGAGGAGAGAAATCAATAGCCACTCCAGCAGCGATAATAAACAAGCAGATATCTGCGCTAGACAAACGAAGTTACTAATAGCGGAAAGCACAAAAAGTATAAGCAAGCACCAGGTCTAAAGCCATCTGAGCAGTAAAGCATCAACCATTAGCAGGATTGCGAAGAAAAAAAATTTGCCCAAACTCCCGTTCCCCCATTGTCTAAAAGATTAACATGAAAAATAATAAAAGATAGACCAATGGGAAAAACAAAAAAGATACACAGACAGAGAACTCTCATCACCCAACAACACAAGTTGACATTGCTGGGACAAGTCATTTAACTCGAAAATGCCGCAGTCTCAAACAGAGTTTATGAAAGGTTGATCCATCCTTGAGATTGCAAGGCACAGTTACCAAGAACCACGAACTGAAAGAGGAAAAACACTGCAACTTCGTACACATATTGACCACTGAAATATGTCTCAGCAACAAAAGCCAGGAGACTAGAAGAACAGAAAGGAAGCTCTTGTCCCAAAGAGAGTAAATCAAAGAGAGGACCAGAACAAGATCGTGGACAAAAGTTGCTGACTCCCCAAGAGTATCTAAATAACTGCCAGGATTTTAAACTGGGCATAATCCTCCCTTAGTTCACCTTGCAGAAGCTATGAGTAACTAACAGTGCGATAACTTCCAGAGGGCTTGTTGCTGTCCAAAATGCTTTCTCAATTTTATTATGTTAAAAGCCTACCCCCAATTAGCAAACAGATCCACTATGTATCCAAAAGGCCAATTACGGCGCCTGCCAAAACGTTAAAAATATTAATACTGGAAACACTAAAATAGCTCACTTCATAATATACTTGATGGAAACAAACATTACCCGATTTACTCACACGTTTAAATCTTTCTTTACCAGAACATAGGACATACAGCTTGTAAGACAGCCTCTACACCTCAATTGACAGGCACACCTGAAGGTGGGGAACAAGGTTTTCCTATCACCAATTTTAAGGTCTCACCGTATGTCCTCAAACCACCCAACATAATGCAAAACTTTGTGATGTGCAATTTCCAGTGTATGAAATCATTATGCATCCAGCAGCAAATAAGGGCAGTGAAATTTCCATCAACAAAGCAGATAACCAGCAGCAATAATAGCATTCAAGAGTGACAGACCACCCATCAGACCATATATCGAACATCTTACGAACACAAAATAGTAGAATATTAGAGCCAATTTTCATGAATTCAAAAGATTGATCCACTTTGCCAACATGCCAAGAAGACAAAATATCCTTTTCCAATATACTTCAAGCCATTTGGTTCCATCACAAGCAGCACATCCATTCCTCCACTGCAACGCACATGAAAAGGAATTTTAGTACCACAATAAACCTGAGACAAAATTAACAGACCATAAAAACTAAATGCAAGAATCTAGAGAACCAAATTGATTCACATACCAATCTGTGGCAGTCAGATTCTACCCTTAGCGAAAACCTCCACTACCACGACGGTCATATGGCCCAGATCGATCACGATTGTATCGGTCACCTCCCCCATGACCACCACCATCTCTGTTACGGCTACCAAACCGATCTCCATTCCTTTCAGGTCCATAACGCCCACCACCTCTTCCACCTCCACCACTGCCACCATATCTGTCATCTCTACCGCCATATCGGTTTCCTCTACCACCATCATCAGGACATTCCCTAGCAAAGTGTCCTGGTTTACCACACTTAAAGCAGTCTCCACCACCAGATCCACGACCACCCCCATAATCACGACGATCTCGATCACGACCACGGTCCCTATCACGCGGGCGATCAATATCACGATCGCCACCTTGGTTAGGTTGTGCTTTGTCAACTGTGATAGGTCGGCCATCTAAATCCATGCCATTCATTGCATGGATGGCCTCCTCCATTGCATCCTTTTCATCAAAAGTGACAAATCCAAATCCACGGGAGCGTCCAGAGAACTTGTCCATAACAACCTATAATTATACCAGCAATGACTGTAAAATTACAAATTTGAAAGGTCAAAAGCAGAGGTCTGAAATATGGTGCTCAGAACATTTCTCATCAGCAAAAGAATTAGTAATGTCAGATCAATACGCGACGAAGAAGACAATATCAATCTTTTTCTTCCTTTTCTCTTTCTATGGTCTTGGAAAGTGTGACACATAGAAGACAGTCAAGGAGATCATAGCATATATCAACAGGTCACTAAAAGAACAAACACATATCACAGTTAAAATTTAATATCAAAAACAAGTGATACACAGTTACCTTTGCCTCAATAAGATGGCCAAATTTCTCAAATGCATCTTTTAGACCTCGATCAGATGTTGACCATGACAGATTTCCAATGAAACAGCGATACTCCGCAACATCAGACATGTTGCAATCTGGTTTTTACTACCAAAATTGATCCATAAGAAATGGAATAAGAAAAGAAAAATACCCAGAAAAGATCTACAGAAAAGCATAAAATAAAATTCATGATTGACCAGAACAGTTATAAAAAATCAGCATCCACTGTAGTTTAACAGTCATCTTACAAGTTTAAACCCATTCTGTTACTCATAGGAAGTAGAGAGAACATCAGGATTTGCAAAGTTTTTTAAACCACATGCATTTATGAACTGATCAAGACAGAAATTTAAGTTCTGTACATCTTAAAATCAGAAAAAGCATATTCACATCGTATATAATAGGTCAAACATCCTCCAACAGTTGCTACCACATGCAAAATAATACAACAAAAAAATTCCAATTCCGGATAACGGTTTTAGCCAAAGATATGGTCTTACACAGCCAAGCGGAATGGAGACAGCAAACTATTGTTCTGCCTTGTACTAAAGAGTACCCTGTGCTCCCCATAATCGGTGGGATAAGCCAATAACGGACAGGTTTATGACGAATAATTTAATAAAAAACACTATTGTTCCCACCATCCCTACAACAATTAATTCTTCCAGATTAAAAAAATTACCGTACCCTTATCTTTAAACATGCTGCAGAGTTAAAAATCACATCATTTTTAATAAAATCCCAGAAAATTGAAAAAAAAAAAAGAAAACAGAAAAAACAGATAACATCGCAAGCCCATCGATAAGAACCACACCGTTATCTCTAATAGTTATACAATCCAATTTCCATCAACCCCTTTTCTACCCCTCATCTCCATAGACCCATATTCGAGATACATGGCACACTAGATTATCAAGCCGCTTAATTGAATCAGATCTAACCACAATTTCCATTATTCCTTTTTCCAGGTTAAAGAAAAATACAGATTGAAATTTAACGGCTAAAAATAATGAAGCGGGCATCAATATTACAGTGTATAAGATTTACATATAAGATTTAGAGCAAGTGGTTCGAATCAGATGAACTTACATAGAAAACTATACGACGCTTTTTGAGTGCTTCTGGTTTGCTTTGCTTTACTTTAGGGTTGAGGAACGCAGAAATCAGAAAACGAAAACCCGAATAATTTTTCTATTTATTCCGTATTTATCTGCCAGGTACTCCTATATTGATCTAGTGGAGCCAGTTGCATATCAACAATCGTTGACCCGGCCTTCATTTTATTGACCGCAATTGACGACTGACGGGTTGATCGCAACCGTTGCTGTGATAGTTGGTGGGCCCTATTGTTGCCCCGTGACAGTTGGCAGTACTGGATTTGTTTGGGTAACACAGTATTTGCAAAAGAATTATTTGCTACATTTTTATTTTATATACATCAAACCATAAAAATATTATAATAAATATTTCAAACAATCCCCACTCCAAACTTACTCCCTTATTTTATAGCTTTTCTAGCATATTGAATTAATTGCAACATGCTCTGTAAAACTTTTAATTTTTGTGACTGTTTGCATAAACTCCTGTCATTTAAAGAATGGACATAAAATAGGAAGAGGGTGCCAAGTTATGGTCGTCCGCCTCCATAAACTCCAAAAGGGTTTAGCATGTCTACCTAAAAAGCATAAAATAGCAAACGTGCATCTGTTGTGACTAAAGTTGCAAACGAATCGAATCACTCGCGAATTGATCGTGAGCGGTTCAAGTCCGAGTTCGACTTGAGTTCGGTTAACATCGACCTTGAGTCGAATTCGAGTTGATCAAATCGAATTCGAATTCAAAAATACTAAATTTATTAGCTCGCGAGCCGGCTCAAGTTCAATTATATATTTTTTTATTTTAATAGTAAAATTATATATATATATATCATAATATTTTATTATTTGTTAACAAAATTATAATTTTATTAATTTTTTAAAATAAAATAAAATAATTATTTTTTATTTTTTTTAAACTCGAGCTCGACTTGAATAATTTGAACTTAACATTTTGAGCTCTTTTATTTTGTAGTCACTGTCTAAAAATGTTCATACTTCATTACATCCATCCAAAAAATGGCTCTTCTTTTGTTTTTGAAACTTATTTTTACTCAACTTACCTATCTTGGTTTGATTTCTTTTTAGGTGAAAATATGAGCAGGAGGTGATGGTAATTTTACTAGAGGCTTTAAGATTTTAATTGATTTACTTGTAAAACCTTCAAATTGAATAGCAAGAGGTATATCTATACTTCCTTCGTAATTTGCCTCAATGCACTTGATTATACAGATATACTACGGGAAATTCTATGTAAAAAACTCCACAATTAAATAAATTTTTTTCTTAATTTTCACCCCTTTTGTTTGCCTAAACAAAGTATGAAAGAACTTCATTATGTAGTTTATTTTCAATATTCTTTTAACTTCAACATGCTGATTTTTTTCCTGCCTATAAGTTGACATGTAATTGATCTTTTGGAGGTGATGATTTGATGAAAATAGAGGGATATTTTCTTGAGAATTAGCAATCAGTAGTTGCTTCGAGTTTGTCTGTTTTTGAAGCCAATCATAACTACTTCTCCATCTCTGGTATTTATGCTATCAATAGTTTTATCAATATTTTAAAAATGTGGAGTTTCATTCTAATTACCACATTGAGATATGCAACCTACTTCAGGATACATGTCATTTGGGTCGATTTAGGTAGTGATGAACTACCATATATTGGTTTTGATGTCATCTAGTTAGATTGTGCTATGTCACTTCCCCTGCTATCCCGAGATTTGAACTTGTTGCCTCCACTAGAGCTTTATGGCTTTCAACCCTATTTTTACAGCAAAAAGGAAATTGTGTATTCAAAAATAGAAAGAAAGGGAAAAGTTAGAGAAATTGACTAGGAATTGAATATATTAGTGAAAAAAATTTTGAGTTTCATTTAAGGTGATTCTCAGTATGTTCTTCCCAGCATTAGTGAAAAAAATTTGAGTTTCATTTAGTCGAACCGAAGGGCGGATACCTCCTGTGTCGACAAAAAAAAAAAAAACCCTAAAACTTTTTCTACCAGCAATGTACTAACTTGCCCAACCCGGGGTAACTCGAGTGGTTCGTTGCTCCTCTTTAGGATATGGCGACCACGGTTCGAGTTCCGAGGGTAATGCGTTCGAGGGGAATGGACTTGGGTCGCAGGGAGAATAGTCGGGTCGAAGGCCGGGATACCCCTGTGTAGACAAAAAAAAAAAAAAAAAAGGTAAAACTTTTTCTGCCAGCAATGTACTAACCGAGTAGTTCACCTTTTTGGTTTTTTGCAAGGGGGTGAGGACGTTTTTGCTTGCATGGTGCTGGATAATTATCCCATTTACTAGAGCTGGCAATTTGTCCCAAGTCCCAATGGGCTACCCATGCCCAAAGGAACTTTGGGCGGGATGGGTATTATAATTTGGTATTGGGTTTAAGTTGGGACACATCCCAACTATACCCATTAATGAATGGGAAAGGATGGGAAATACTTGGGTACCCATTGGGCTCAAATGGCAAGGGCTCCGTTTGGATTAGCTGTTTTTGGTAGGTGTTTTTGAAATATTTTATTGTAGCCGTGTATATGAAAAATTTTTACTATAAAATTTTTTTGAAATATTTGATATACTAATATGGATGGGATGTTTCTTGAGTTATTGTATATTACTGTAACATTGTATTTGAAAAACTTATTTTTTGAAAAAATAGTCAATCCAAACGGAGTCTTAGATTCAAAAATTATCTTTAACAATTTTTATAGTCATACCAGCGAATATAATCTAGTAGTCTTCTTAGTCATTATCCACAAGAATTTCTAGCATTTTAGTTAGTTTAGACCTGTCATCCTTGGACAATGATGAGGATAAATATTCAACGTCCTAAGGACCTTGGCCATCTTGATATATGTTGGAATATGGCTGTATATCTATCTTTTCCTTTATTTGTTAATCCAATTTTTGGTGGGAATCTTGAGTATAAAGCACTTGCATGTTTATTTAATAAAACTAAAAGAAATTTAATAAATCAAAAATATTAAAATTATATAAAAAATAAAAAATGAATTAAAGGAAAAAAAATATGTAGAAAATGAATTTGGGTATTGGGCGGGATGAATCTAAACCCATCCCAAAATGATCCCGCCCAAGTTAGTCCCAAAACACATATGGGTAAGGTTGGACCCAAACCCATATGACTCGGTTCCATCTCAAACCCAAGCAAATCCCGCCCATCCCGCCCATTTTGCCACCTCTACCATTTACCAAACTTTTATTCTAGTAAGTTTTCTTAATACAACCTGAGAACCTAAATTGTATTCCACCCTGTTTTTTAAGGAAATGCTCTCTCTCTTTCTCTCTGTATTAGACACACACACTACACCTCTTTTTTTTTTTTTTGTATTTCCTTCTATAGTTTCCTTTTTTTTTTGTTTTTAAATAGACTAATAGGTCATCTATATTATTTTCTCAACAATATCAAATGTTCAAACATGTTAGAGATGCTACCTTGAATTTGTTGACTTGATATATGATGAATCAAGAAGCCAATTATATTTTAAGAAAATGCCATGCACCTGCTCAGATTAGAAGTTGGAGTGGTTTTAGTAAAAATGTTGTTCACATTTTAGTTGTTGATTATTACAGAAATTGACTACTTTCACATTGCTAGCGATTTTTAACTTTTAAGTGAGTAAAGAAATACCTTATTCTAGCAAATTTATGGCGCACTACTTGAATCAATCAATTTTTTATTTTATTTCTTTTTGAAAAAAAGTTTTGATAGTTATTTTAAGTGAGTTAAAAACTGTAGCAGCCCCCTGAATAGCTCTTTTTTTTATTTTAAAAAAAATTAGATTGCAAATAGAACTTGGAAAAAGACAAATACGCGACACATAGGAGGCAGCTTTGTGAGGTCCAATTGAGAGGTAACTCAAATAGGAAGCAAATTATTAAATGTCTAAAAGTAAACTGGGTAATATCGAAAATCAATTTTTTTAATTTAAAAAAAATTTAGTAGGGGATAGATATGATTAAGAAGTGGGATGGGGGCGGAGGAAATTAAGCTGAGGACTTGCTCAAAAAAAGAAAAAGAAAAAGAAAAAAAATCGATACTTGTTAATGATGATTGCTTGCTTGGTGAGTTCTTCTTAGGTTCCATTTGATAAAACTGAATCTGAATTCTGAAGTCTGAATTCTGAAATCTGAATGTTAAAATAATGAATTTGCTGAATTTTAAGCATTGAAAAAAAAAATATGAATGTCTGAATTTTAATGCTAAACCTATTTATACTGTTTGATAAATATTTATAGCTGAATGCTTAATAAATTTAATTTGATAATTTTGCCCTTATATCCTTTCATTCAAAAAAGAAATAGAATCTATAATTTAATTAGTTTAAAATTGTTAGGTCTGAAAATAATAATATTTATTTTTAAATCAAATTAATATAAAAGATAAAATGTATTATATGAGAAGTATGAAGAAGATGTGAAAGTCATTAAAAAAGGAGAAAAGAAAAACTAAAAATTGTTAGATAGAGAATATTATGTTGTTTAATTAGATAAAAATTTTGAATATAATTAACAAACAAGGGTAGATTTGGTAGATAAGATAAGGTAGTTGAAATAATTCTATTGATTTTTATCAAAATTAAGCATTCAATTAGGATTCTTGTGTTGAAAAAAATACACACAGGTTCAGCACTACTTAACAAGTTCAGCAAATAGATTTTCATTTGTCAAACACTCAAAATATTTGAATGTCTGAAAAAATTCAGATTCAGCACTTCTTTATATTATCAAACAGACCCTTAGTTCTTTTGATTCCGGCCGGCTTTAAAACAATTGATTACCCTTTGTTAAAAGTTTAAAACACAAGTTGAATTTTTATTTTTTTTTTGGTATCAGTGGAGCTCTAAGGGCCTGTTTGGAACCTCAAGTGTTTACCAAGTTTGTATAATACTAATTTTTTAACAACTTTTGCTATAGGAACCCAACAAACTTATCAAAAATTTTAACCTATACACTTCAAAAATACACAAAAACTTTTTTCCAAAATTTTAGCCGTTCCTTTGCTCATTTAACTCTACTATCTCTCACAAGTCATAAGCACCTCAATCCTGCAATTCTCTACAAACCCCCAGGCGGAAAAAAAAAAATCAAATTGTGCATTAAATTCCCAAAATTCTAGAT